CTTTCCTAAACCAGCAACCCCTGCCTATACCCGTTCCTCCACCTACCTACCTTCGCTATATTCGCGAGTTGGTATTTATAAGCCTAATTTTCTTTGCAGGCAAAGAAATTAAATTTCCGGCATAGCTGAACCGCCTCTTAGAGAAGAGCAGAACCAAGCGATTCTAACCTGCTCAACCCCTCCAGTTCCATGCATGCACACACTTATGCATTTGTGCAAGCACACATACTAAAGATTTTCCACTGTTTGAAAAGTAGAAGTATGGGTATGGGGAGGCACTAGGAATTTTCCCTGGTAGAACCCCCCTTTAGGAAAGTGTTGAAGCGAATTGCCGGCATTTTTAAGTTTTACCAGTCATTTATTTGTAAGCATTCCGTGCATTATTTCCGAAAGTTTAACTTTTAAGAGAAACGGAGGCATTTCGTCGACTCTTTCCACAGTTGTAATTATAAGCGCAATTTGACAAATCTCGGGAAGTTACTGAGAAATTGCTACTAGACTCCCGTTTGTTTAGTTTTGCCCGGCATTCAGCACCTCTTCTGCGTCTCCCAAGTATTTCGGTTCCTAAATGTGCAACGGGGAATTTCGGGAAATATTTTTAAGAATAATACGCCAATTTTTCTCTCCTGTTGTGTTGTGAAATTTAAATTCATATTTTGTGACGATTAAAAATAATTTTATTTCGATTTTTGAAATCAATTGTTTTATTACCAGGGTTGGAATTTTTAACTAAAGCATACAATTCTTTGTATCAAATGCGAAATAGTTTAGACTCCACTCAAAATTTATATTACAGTTTAAATCACATAATTACAATGTCTGCTGAAGTAACTGAAAGATTTAGTACTTTCACGTAGAATCAAGTATGTTCGCTTACGTAAGCTCTACGCACTGCAGTTACCACAGAAAAACCTCAGTTCTTTATGGAGCTTAGCAAAGCTTACGTATTTGGACATTCGCAGTGCTACGTGAAAGTGCAAAATCTTTTATTATCGCGTTCCTTTAACATGATTGGATGGAGCATAATATAAGTTTTCAGCAGTTTTGAGTTATCTCAAAAACCCACTATACATATTATGCCATTTTTTCTGAAATAAATTTACATTTAATTTACACTTCATTTAATGAAAAAATAAAACAGGTGACTAAGCTCAGATACTAACCACGTCGTTTAAACGCGATTATAATTTAGTATATTATTGGATGTTCTTAGCGCGCGCTCAGAGACGGGCTAAAATAGTCTTAAGTATATTAAGATGTCTAAGCTGACGTCACTTCACTTAGCTGCCTGCTATCAATGATCAAAAAACTACTTATTTATAGCATTGTTTCATTTCACTTTAAGCAGTTTGGTGTCATTAACAATATTGCTTCAATTTATTGGATAATAATAATCAAGTGATTTAATCCAGCCTCTGGCTTAGACATCTATGTAATTGGATACCTACAAGTGACGTCACCGTAGGTAAATCAGAAATCAGTCTCGACACACGCGCATGACGTCACTTACAAGTATCCAATTAAATCTGATTTAAATCGCATGGTTTGGCATAATCACTTCGCCTTTTCTCGAGTTGCAAGTACTCAATTGTATAAATAGACTACTTACATTTAAGAATAGGAAAATAAAAAGGAAAATGTATACTGCATAATCTATTTGTTATTGTAAACTAGAATTCAAAATTTTCTTCTTTTGGTTTTAATTAAATAGTACATCTTCAATTGTCTCAAATTTAGTTCTATTCATTTCAATATTGTTCATTTTATTGTGATAAACGACTGCGAATAAAAAACCATTTCACGTAATAAACTTCAATACCAAATTAATGTAACAAAAAAAAAGAATGAAATTAGGTGTAATATTTTTTCCCCTGTCTTATTTTTTGGCGCGAAACTAATTACCGTGCCTCAATATTCCAGTGGAAAAAAAGTACGCAACATTTAGCATTTTATTGCGAAAAAGCCAAATTCCTTTTATTGGCGGTGAAATGCCTTCACGCCTCTGCAAGTTCGGGCCATAGTTCCAAAACGCGATCGCCCGAAAAATGAGGGGCATCATAACATCGTCACTCACTAAAAACGGAATAAATAATAAAAGTTGAAAGAATGCAAAAAATAATACTGGCTGTCAAAGGAGGGAAAAAGAGGGAGGTTCGAAAAAGAAAAGCAATTCATTAGTGAGAAGAGTGAAAATGAACAAATCTAACAATGAGTTTTTTTACGCCTGCTTAACCTTTTAATTGAATCTTTCACGGCTTTTTGCATTAAGTCCTCTCTTTTTTTTATTATTATTATTTTCACCATCTCTTTTTCTAGGCTTTTACTTAGCTAAGTGAGCCCAAATTAGCTAGACAGCACTTTTTTAGGGTTAAATAGCGATAGAAAAAAAAATTTTTTTGAGGGGGTGGGTAAGAACTTATTAAGGTGTTGTTATGAGGTTTATGCTATTCATATTTCTGTTAGCAAATTGCTTTTTACGCAAAGCTTAACTTTTAATGTTGTTGTGTGTTAAAGACTGGCTCGGGCATGATTTGATTTACCTCATTTATTCTTGGTTAATGCATTTTCCATTTATAAAATGCTATAAAAATTAGAGTTTGAAACTTCTGAATTTTATTATTTTAAATTGCTGTGTTTTTACACTTTTAAAGTACTGGAATTAGCTTTTGTTTTAGTTTTAAAGAAATGTTATCGAGAATTCTTAAACTGTTATCGATATTAAAAAACAATTGACTTAACTATAAGTAATTTATTTATTTTTAATTTTTGTTTTTACAGCACTTAAATGTTTTTTTTTTCAGCTCTTAAATTTTTTTTGTATTCATTATTTTTTTATTAATATTTTTGCTGAGAGTACTTTTTTTGGAAATTGTCTATCATTTATAATTTTTTTTTCTATTTTAATCATCCAATTGTTATTCATCTTATTGTACTTATTGAAGAAGAATGAAAATTCCTAGCATTAAAACGTATAAGATGTATTTACTCTAACAATGAGCTGCGAAATTTAAACAATAATCATTTATGTGTGGTGATTTGAAACTAAAACAAATAATCTAAAAAAAAACACATATTTGACTGTTTTTTATTTACTAATTATGTGTTTGTTATTTGAGAAATTTAAACACATTTAACATTTAGAAAACTAAAATGCAATTTTTTTCAATTAGAAAAATTTATTCAAATAACAAAGTTAACAAAAATTGAAATGAATATTAGAAGTTTATGTTTACAGTAGGAAGCTGAAGAAACTTTTACTACTTTGCACCCAGAGTACTTTAAAATGCTGATTTAACTAATATAAGCATTGAAACATTTGAAATACATAATACAGCATTTTCATCTAATTTTTAAAAGCTTGAAATAATGTAGTTGCTAATTATTAAGGTATAAAAATGTTTAATTTTAGAATGTTGTCTGTTGCTGGAGCCTCAGAGGCGATATCAGAGTGCAAAGGGTTAATTTCAACTACAAATATTTAATCAAAAGTGTTTTTAAATTGCCTGCAATATTAACTTCCAAATACAAAATAATTGAAAGAGACTAAAGAACGTTTTTTTTTTCCTTGAAACTATTTTCATTTTAAAATATTCTGTTTTCAAATTAGGAAGGGAAAAAAAAGAGATTAAATTTTAGAATATTTTTTCAGGTAGAAAAACTTTATAGGTTTCTCAGTATTTCTAAAGAAATACATTTATTTTTTACCTGTTGAATTTTAAGGAAGAAAGATTCGTCTTGAATTTTTTAACGAATTTCCAATTACCTTATTCATTTGGTGTTTTTCAAATCTGCCATTTCAAAAGAATTGCTTTGCTAAGTTTCTTTCCGTTTATTTATTTTTTTTTCGCTTTCCATTTCGTGTTGAAAAGGAGTTACATAAAAAAAGATTTCAATTTGAAAAGGAAAATTAACGTTTCTCACTTCATGAATATTTCATTTGTTGACCCTGATCACGAGAAAAACCTGTAACTTCAATCTTTTTACCTCAAAGAAATAAAAACATTTAAACACTTACATCCCCTTTCGTTGCCAAAAAGAAAAGAAAAAAAAATTTCCGTGTTTTTTGCACTAAAATGAATCCAAGAATTGCACTGCCATAGTTAGCATCCGGGGCCTAAGGAGGGCCATGACCTTTGAAGCGCATGCTCAGACAAAAATGACAAATAGAAAATATCAATGATTTAAAAAGAATTATAAAAATAAAATAAAAATTTCGCTAGTTTATGCAAAAAGTAGAGCTTTATGACCGAATTTGACTATTATTGAAATTATTATAATTTTCATGCTTTTCATTTTAAAAAAGAAAATACATTAAGAGAAAAGAAATATTTGTTGAATTTAAAGTCATGTTGAACTGTTAATTTTTTAACTATTATAAAAAATAGTGCCTTTAAAAAATATTTATTTAAGCTGAAGAAGGTACTAAAGAATAGTTAATATATTTAGGTAACTTTAGGTGTATATATATAAATGGCTGAATGTTTCTTTTGTTTTAGCCTGATGTGAAGCATTATTTATAACATCATTTAACCTTTTATTTTATTATATTGAAATATCGTTTCGTTTTCTCAATATTTAGTTCTATAAAATGGCAAATGATTTTTAGACTTAAGTAAAAAAAAAAGGATTATTATATGGATATTATTTAAAAGTCATTCATTCTTCGAAATTACAAATATTTAATGCTATTTTGAAAAAACAAAAACTACATTTAAAGAGGCCTATTATATATGTTACATGGGCGTTCTATAAAATACCCAGACATTTTATAGAAAACCTGTTATTTTTCATACTTGCCTGTCAGTTTTCGGTATTCTAGAAAATGCCTGGTTATTCTTTGCCTGATTTCTAGCTGTGCCGGAGACAATACATAAAGTGAAAACAAAATATAATAATTTTGATAATTTGTGTATATTAAGCAGCATGTTTAGTGATATATATTTATGCTTTTTGATCTTCGAAATATTAGATATTAAAATTGCTTTTTTTTTTCTTTTCAGGTAAGCTGCAAGCTAATTTCTTGCTCCAAATGCCAGTTATGTACTCTTAACTTTTTTCTCACTTCTCCATTTGGTAAGACCATGACTCAATTCCATTAAATTTAAACCAGTCATTCATAAAAAGCTGTTCTAAAGGTAATTATTCTTGAATCGATAGGCTTAACTTTGTTCGATTCTACATCTTCTTCCAGAAATTTTCTAGATAAAAAGAGGCATTACAAGTATAATTAAAAAGACATTTAAGTAACTTAAAACCAAATGAAAAGAACATTAGTAATGCGCAAGCTTTTATAAAAAGGCTTATTCTTACTTCTTTTCCCTCAATACAACATTTTCCCTTAGACCCTGTAATTACGCTAGTTTTGTGCTTTTACAAGCACCCTTCATTGTTTTCCTGAAAAAGAAGATCCTGAAAAATGCCTCTTTTGTTTTCAAAAACTTAAACGTTTACTTTTGTGGCAGCACTTCGGAAAGAAAACTGCCATTAAAGCAATGGTTCTTGCGATGTAATTATTTCCCGCTCTTTTCTAAATGAGAAAGAATAAGATGAATAAATAGTTGTTAAAAAACGTTGTTTCCTTAACACGGCGCCTGGAATCGTAGAGGACATTCATTGAATTTTTGAGTAATTAAATCATTTGCGAAGAGTGTGTATCAACAGTTAATTGGAGAAGATATATTTTTTTTTATCTAATAGTTCGAACTAATTTGTTTTAAATTGTCATTTACAAATGTTTTTTATCAATTTTAATTTGCAACATAAAATTTATTTCGTGCAACAACAAAAAAAAAAATCTAAATTTATGTAAGGGAGTAGATATGAGTTCGGGCTCACTTTTGTAAGCCCGAGCTCGAAGAATTTTATTCCCGACACACCCTATCCCGAGATACATCGAATTACTTAGAGCCTGGATATACGATATATGGGGATGGACATACGTCAGATAAAAGTCAAATTTGCGGTCTCACTATTAGGCCTTTTCTGCCTAAACAAGAAAATAATTCATTAAAACCTTTTTACCACAGTTGATTTATATTATTTAAATTTTTTATGCTAAGTAACTATACTAAACGTTTGTTTTAAAGTAGTTAAAAAGTTTATCAAAATTTTCTCTCGAGTCCGAGCCCACCTGAGTCTGAAAACTTTTTACAGTCCGTGGCAGGCTCGGTCTAAGCCCGTCTCATCTCCAGAGGGGACAAATAGTGATTATTTCTCCTGTTAAGTTCCATTGTTAAGTTATTCCAATCTTTAGATTATATTCTAAAGCAAAATCTATTATAAAAATGCGTTCAAATTATTTTTTAAAAAAAACTAAAAATTTTTATACTTAAAACCTAACTATTATTCTACATATTTTAATACGATTGCACTTACGATTATTAGCACACTAGCAAGCGCCACATATTTGCTAAACTTTAAACTATTTTTTCCATTAATTTAGTTATCAATGTTGGAGGCTTTAAATTGAAGAGAACTCGATAATATCTTGATCGCCGATTGGATATACTTCATGTAAAAATATATTCTCATTACTAGAAATATTCGAATACGATGCTCTCATAACTCATTTACAAAGTTCTTTCCACTCGTTTACCTTATTTCCGAGTCTTTAAAAATAAACTGGCTTTCTCAGAATTTTGTCCTCAATGTTTGAAATGCTGAGATCGTTGCTTAGTCTATCATTTTCTGGTAAATAGTAAATCATTAAGTACTCGAAACAGGGTGCGCAGCGTTTTTAAAAAGTGCTTTAAGGTGCTTATTTTCGATTTTCGTTTTTTAAAAGCCCTTAAAGGTGCTTTTATTCATTAGGTGTTTTTAGAAATGCTTAATTTTCCTTTTTCAAAATGATATTTTTCCTTTGCAATGTTTATTTTCGCCACGAATTATGCAAAAAGACGCAGTTCGTATTGTTCTATTCAACCTTTTCACAATTAATTCAAACCCAATCAATCTATTTCAGCGTATTGTCAGTCCGTAGCGTATGAAAACTCTATTCATTTTACATGATTCAAAATTTCATGATTTTTGACAATTGTCAAAAACAATGCCAAAAATTCTTTTTTCCCCGACATGACGGTTAAAACAAGATAAAACCGTCAATTGTCAAAAACTTTCTAACCTTGCCTAATTATGATATTTTTTTAAAGTGCTTAAAAATATTTATTGAGTGCTTGAAAAGTGCTCAAAAGGTGCTTATTTTTTGTTGAACAATTTGGCTATGCACCCTGTTGAAAGGAGTGCACAAATTTCTCATAATACGATGTAATGTGACAGATTACGTGAGTTATTACGATTAATTCAATTTTAGGAGTATTTACTATATGAATGCCGTTAAAAAAATTATGTCGGTTATTTTAGTCTTCATTATAGATACATTGAAAACTAATATCACTAATAAATATTGCTATCAGTAAAAAAAATTGCTATCACTAATAAAAATATATCCCTTTACTTCTTTTGGACTTTATTTCAAAATTTGCTACCAACTTAACATATCTATTACCGTTGAAACGGAAAAACCGGTGCGCCTGTTAATTTCCAGAAATATTATTTCCTTAAAAAACTTTAGATTTGAAAAGCAAATAAGGATGACGGTCGCCCATTTAGTTTGGCATCGAAAATCATTTCATGCATTCTTACTGATCTTGAATCATGACGTCACGGTTACCGATAAACTGATTTAGCACCAGGTTTCTGTGAATTAATTAAATCCGGAGCCTTTTATGCTGCACCCGCGACGAGACGGAAGTCGAAGAGGGAATCGTTTTCCGGATGCGATAGTTCGACCATCTCCCCCTCCTTTCCCATGCCTGTCCCTCCCCCGCATTCGAAAGAATAAGGGGTGAACCACTCTGTTCGAAAATATTATTTTATAATTTGATTCCGACAACCTCTGCCTCATACAAAATGCCGTTTTGCATTTATCATCGCTCTTTTCCTTTTGATTTATTTATCCGATTTTAACAAGTGCTATCGCTTTATGTAGCTCAGCATTGCGATTTGAAAAATTGATTCCAGCTTAAATGCGTGTATATGTTGTCGACTGATTGTTAGTATTAGGAATCTAGAATACTGTTCTGTTGGATTTAAAAGATAATGAACAAAATTTAAAACAAAAAGAAGTTTATGTATGCTTTTTTTTACTGCGCTTGTTACGTTTGAAATAATTATGTTTACGTTTGTATGCTATAGTCTATACAGTAAAATCGAATAAATTTTATTAATTGATCCTGATGTTAGTTGTGATGAATACTTTGCTTAATTAAAGGTTTCCTTTTATTTTTCGTCATTTCGTATTTTTAAGTTAGATTTTAAATTATTATGCCATAATGTAAAATTTTATTTTAATTTAAGAATTCAATGTTGTACTTAAAATTATTTAATTATAAAAATGGATTTTATGCTGGTAAAATATCTATTATAATAATTTCTTTTGTATTAATGTGTGATATCATGTGAATATAAAAACAATACTATTTATAAATAAAAACTCAAAGATTTTTATTCATTTTAATCAATTTTGACCGTAATTTAAATTATTTAACGCAATTTTAGTGATTGAGACTGTGAAATAAATATTTTATTTCCTTTTATATACTACTAATCCTTAAATAACGTTAACTTTGTGTTGATTTAGTGTAAAATTGTTTCTTGAACTGGAAAAGATATTTAAAGAAAAAAGAATATATATGTATATATATA